ACAAGATTTAGTATAGATTGCATGAAAATAAATAAATGCAAATGGTTAGGTTGAAGTTCAAAAAGGGTCAACATGGTCAAAGATCATCGCATGCCACAGTCGACAAATTTCACATTGTCAAGTTATCTCCCGTTGCGGACATTTAGTATATAACAGACGCAGATCCAGAATTTTTTTTTTCAGAAAGGGGGCGGGGGGTGTCACACCTCAGTCAAAAAAATCAGCCCAAGATTTCCTGAGATGGAAATAAAAAATAATAATAAAAACAATGATGGTGGAGTCCCTGTTTTCTAAGGGGGAGGATGTCCAAAGTCATTTTTATTCTCTACAGTACATATATAGTCTTATTTAAAAAACTGCTAATTCCAGGGGGGGGGGGGGGTCTGATCTCCCTAGCCACTGACTCCCTGTACCTGAAATGACAATTGATCTTATGACTCCATAATAGTAGAAAATTTTTTCATTTGACTATTTATACATATTTTGTTTCCTATGTTTATGTATTTTTGTCTGTCCACTGAAACTTTAACCTTGCCCATATTTTTTAAGTGGATTGGGCTATACACATGGCTTCAATATTTCATAGGTAAATTTCTTTTGGCAAAACCTTTTAATGGGTATCACCAATTTTGACCTCTTGATCTCTTGACCTTGGAGTTTGACCCAATTTTACAAGAAAAACACCTTGAACTTGGCGTAAGTTTTGAACAGGTGGTGCTAGGACTTTCATGCTCTTACATGTGTAATCATTGTGAACTTTCAACAGGTATAATTATTTTTGACCTAGACCTTAGAGTTGAATCCAATTTAACTTTAACCTTGGCAATAACTTTTGAACAGGTGAGGAAGTTCTAGGGATTTCTCCCTTTTTTCACATGTGTATTCCTTGTGACAAGACTTTCCCTTTGATACCAACAATTTAGACCCTTTGACCTTGACCTTGGAGTTTGACTTACATTTGAGAAACTTCAACCTTTGCCAAAAGCTGCCATAACAGTTGCTGTCACAACAAACAAACAAATTACAAAAAAAAAAAACACAGAATACATGTACATATTTTATATTCAACAGATATACATCTGGTCATATCTCTAGTTCTCCCTTGAATGAGACATGGTGATATAAATTTTAAAAAATAATTATAAGAGTTGAAAAGGTTGTGCATATTGAAATATACTAAGCTCTGCGGATGAATTAGATATACCAGTTTAGCTTTATTTTGCTACCCAAAGCACCTTGATTAACTATTTATAAGCATACTGTTTTCTGAAATGTACTGATTTCTGTTGTCCATCTGTTTATCTGCAAACTTTTCACATTAACTTCTTAAGAACTCTGGGCTAATTTCAACCAATTTACATTTAAATATGCAGGGTACTTTTTAAGCGCCCGCATCGATAGATCCCGGGCGTATATTGTTTTTGTCCTGTCTGTTTGTCTGTTTGTCTGTTTATCTGTTTGTCTGTTTGTCAACTTTAACCGTGGCCATAACTTTTGAACAATAAGGGATAGAGACTTCATATTTGGTAAGCGTACTCCACTAATAAAGTCCTTTCAAATGACTTCAAGGTCAATGACCTTGTGACCTTGACTAAGACTTATATGCTAAAAATAGCTTTTTCCACTGTTTGTCATAACTTTTGAACCATAGGAGATAGGGACTTCATATTTGGTATGCATACTCCACTAATAGAGTCCTTTCAAATGACATCAAGGTCAATGATCTTGTGACCTTGACTAAGACTTATATGCTAAAAATAGCTTTTTCCACTGTTTGCCATAACTTTTGAACCATCAGAGATAAGGACTTCATATTTGGTATGCATACTCCACCGATTAAGTTCTTTCAAATGACACCATGGTCAATGACTTTGTGACCTTGACTGTGACCTATATTCTAAAAATAGCTTTTTCCGCTGTTTGTCATAACTTTTGAACCATAGGAGATAGGGACTTCATATTTGGTATGCATACTCCACCGATAAAGTACTTTCAAACGACGGCAAGGTCAATGATCTTGTGACCTTGACTGTGACCTATATGCTAAAAATAGCTTTTTACACTTTTTGCCACAACTTTTGAACCATAGGAGATAGGGACTTCATATTTAGTACTCATACTCCACTGACTAAGTTCTTTCGAATGACACCATGGTCAATGACCTTGTGACCTTGACTGTGATCAATATGCTAAAAGAAGATTTTTTTAACTTTGTTGCCGCCGGGCGCGTAGTGTTTCACAAACACATCTTGTTCCAACATAAATCTTCTTCTCAAGAACAGCAAAGACATTTATTGTCCCCATTTTTGCTAAAGGTAGGGTACATTAAATCTAATTTGTTTGTCAATCTGCCCATCTGTCACAATAAATTTAACCTTGGTCATCATGGTCGAATATTTTGAATAAGAAGAGATAGGACTTTTATATTAAACATGTGTATTAGTATTAAATGGGACAATACCATTCTACATACACTATGATTTTCATTACCCATGATCTTGAAGTTTGACCTAATTTCCTTAAAAAAATTAATTGCTTTGAATTGATCATTTTGAAAGATAAATGAAAGGGCATTCATTTTACCTGTGATAAGACCTTCCAAAATGTATCATGACTTTTTGACTCTGTGACCTTGACCTTGAAGTTTAACTTAGTTTTCATTAATGTTGTATTTCCTTTTCATTGAGAAGAGATTTGACTTTCACATTTCAAGTGAACATTACCCATAACAAGAGGCTCCCAACATGCTATGATTTTTTACCCCTTGACCTTGATGTTTTAACAAAATTTCAAAAGAGTGAACTCTCCCAAAAAATGATAAGACCACTGTTTAAAACAAAAAAGGAGTTTAGGGAAGACTGGGCTTTTTCCATAAAAAAACGTCATTTTTCAACCCTCATTTGACCCCCCGGGCAAAATAAAAATTCCGAAACCTAACTGCACATCTACATGACCCAACCAACCATCTCCCAAAGATGATTAGGATGCTGAATAAAATGTAAGAGGAGTTCAGGGAAGATGGGGCTTTTTCCATAAAAAACATCATATTTCTACCCTTATTTGACCCCCCCGGGGCAAAATCAAAATTCTGAAATCTAACTGCACATCTGCATGACCCCACCAACCATCTCCCAAAAGATGATTAGGCTGCTGAATAAAATGTAAGAGGAGTTCAGGGAAGATGGAGATTTTTGCATAAAAAACGTCATTTTTTCGACCCCCATTTGATCCCCCGGGGCAAAATCAAAATTCCAAAACCTTACTGCACATCTACATGACCCCACCAACCATCTCCCGAAAGATGATTAGGCTGCTGAATAAAATGTAAGAGGAGTTCAGGGAAGACTGGGCTTTTTGCATAAAAAACGTCATTTTTTGACCCCCATTTGATCCCCCAGGGCAAAATCAAAATTCCAAAACCTTACTGCACATCTACATGACCCCACCAACCATCTCACAAAAGCTGGTTAGGCTACTGAGTAAAATGTAGAAGGAGTTCAGGGAAGACGGGGCTTTTTGGACAAAAAACGTCATTTTTCAACCCCCATTTGACCCCCCGGGGCAAAATCGAAATTCCAAAACCTTACTGCACATCTACATGACCCCACCAACCATCTCCCGAAAGATGATTAGGCTACTGAGTAAAATGTAAGAGGAGTTCAGGGAAGACGGAGCTTTTTGCTTAAAAAACGTCATTTTTCGACCCCCATTTGACCCCCTGGGGCAAAATCAAAATTCCGAAAGCTTACTGCACATCTACATGACCCCACCAACCATCTCCCAAAAGCTGGTTAGGCTACTGAGTAAAATGTAGAAGGAGTTCAGGGAAGACGGGGCTTTTTGGACAAAAAACGTCATTTTTCGACCCCCATTTGACCCCCCGGGGCAAAATCGAAATTCCAAAACCTTACTGCACATCTACCTGACCCCACCAACCATCTCCCTAAAGATGATTAGGCTACTGAGTAAAATTTAAGAGGAGTTCAGGGAAGACGGAGCTTTTTGCTTAAAAAACGTCATTTTTCGACCCCCATTTGACCCCCTGGGGCAAAATCAAAATTCCGAAAGCTTACTGCACATCTACATGACCCCACCAACCATCTCCCAAAAGCTGGTTAGGCTACTGAGTAAAATGTAGAAGTAGTTCAGGGAAGACGGGGCTTTTTGGACAAAAAACGTCATTTTTCGACCCCCATTTGACCCCCCGGGGCAAAATCGAAATTCCAAAACCTTATTGCACATCTACATGACCCCACCAACCATCTCCCAAAAGATGATTAAGCTACTGTGTAAAATGTAGGAGGAGTTCAGGGAAGAAAAGTGTGACAGACGGACGGACGGACGGACGGACGGACATGAGTAACAACAATATACCCGAACTTTCTTTAGAAAGTGCGGGTATAATTATGGATAGAGCAAAGTAATTTCATAGGTCCCAGTGAATTTGCTATAACCGAGTTTTACTGTATTATTGTTAATACTAGTATTCAAGAACGTATTCACTTTTTTTCTTGTAGATGATCACTTCCACCTGATGTTTTTCCGGGTTCTTGTGAAAAGTGTTTCATCTGGCACCATTCCGCTACAAATACTTTGCCGATGGAACTGACATCAATCAAATGCTGATGACACTGATAATTCATTACTTGGATGAGAATTACCTTTGGGACAAACAAACTGTTTCAACATTTCACACCTACAAGTTGGTACTGATGAAATTTTGTTTGAAGCAAGCTAAAGGCAAATAAGTACTAAAAATACAAGCCAGATGAAATACGAAAGGGTTGATACAAGTCATTTAAAATTATAATTTATTTGCAGGTAGTGATGAGTGCACTGAACGTTTTCTCAGGATCTCGTCAAACATCATAGGTACAACTGGTCACTGTTCTTTCTTGGTTATATAAGCAAGCATATTGTTAAGGCGGTGACATATGTAGCTCCAATTCGAAAGGATGCATTACTGTTTTCCTTCAGTTTATAGGTAAACCTGGATTGACATGATGCAGTGATATAGAGCCATGTCATGTTTAATTTCATCTTCCCACTGTCACAAAGTACTGAAATAAAAGCGATTTTGATTTAAATATAATTTTTTTTGTTTTCATAGTATGTACATGTAACATAACATTCTACCGAAATTCAAATAAATCACAAATTAAATAAGATTTAAATGTAAATCTTTTGAAGATGAAGGTTTTGCTTTGTGTGAGTCTTTGCTGATAGGGCCACTTACCTTTAATAATGTCCTGAAAGGTGAGGTACATGGCTGGTCTTCATGCTGGATAAGTTCTCAATCAAAACAATCCATTGCAAGATGTGCAGACAATAACCTGTAATTAAGCAAACCTTTGTAACATGTCATTTGAATTTTGCATAGTTGTATGCACACCTGATAATAATTAGGTGTCTGAGGGTTATAAATCTGGCAAATATCTAATTGGCACCTTCTTCGTTAAAGCCGCTTAATCCGAAACAGGCACATATTATCCTACGCAATAAAAGTACGTCATTACATAGATAATATATAAAAAAAAAATATAAGATGATTTTATAGTTTATTACAACAATCCTTACAAGGAAGAATAAATCAAAAACCTTATTGACAAACAGAAGTTCCTGACGGGAAGTTAATATCTGTTGTGAAGTCACCTTTGAAAAAAAACAAATTTATTGATTTTATCTAATTATGATTGAAGATAATTCAAACCCGAGTGTTTTTTTCCATTAGTAGAAGCCTATGTCATAATATATCTTTTAACAAGATGTGTTTGGGATACACTAAGCGCCCGGCGGCACCAAAATTCTAAAAAAGCCATTTTTAGCATACATGTCACAGTCAAAGTCATTGACCTTGATGTCATTTGAAAGAAATTGATTAGTAAAGTATGGATACCAAATATGAAGTCTGTATATCTTGTGGTTCAAAAGTTGTAGCACAGGTATGAAAAAGTATTTTTAGCATAAAGGTCACAGTCAAGGTCACAAGGTCATTGACCTTGGAGTCATTTGAAAGAGATTGATTAGTGGAGTGTGCATATTAAAAATATGCAGTCTCCATCTTCTATGGTTCAAAAGTTATGGTAAAGGAACGAAAAAAATATTTTTAGGATACAGGTCACAATCAATGTCACAAGGTCATTGACCTTTGTGTCAATTGAAAGGGCTTAGTTAGTGGAGTATGCATATCAAATATGAAGTCTCTATCTTTCATGTTTCAAAAGTTATGGCGAAGGTTTATAAAGTTTGCAGACATACAAACAAACAGACAGACAGGACAAAAACAGTATAAGCCTCGGATCTATCAATCCGGGAGCATATTAAAAATTAATAAATTAAATGAATATAATCCATAGTAATTTTTATTAATCTGCATATTTAAAAGAATGAGGGAAAATCAGATATCTTTAAAGATTTTTTAAAGGAAGTTTAGTAACGAAGGCTAAAATACTGTCCGTGTACAGGTATAAGTACTTTGTTATGGAAAAAAAAATGCTCGGGTTTGTACTTCATGAGATAAAAGCGATAATTTAGATTTTTCTAAGGTGAGTTCACGCAATATCAACATAGGATTATTTTTTGTGTGATTTAACAAAATTTTTTTTTTAACTTTTGAATTTTTGATATCTTTTAAAAGAAAAAGACTTAGGGGATATAATTTGACAAAAGTTGAAACAGTTTATGGACAATTATTTTTCAAGAAGTGAAACGAATATATTTTTTCATGATTCGAATCGGACTAAGCTACTTTAAATTTCATCAATAATTTTACAAGAAAATCCAAATAAAAATGGTCATTTTTATACACATGCACAAAATTTTTTCAAGACATAATTTCTGATATAAAAATTGTGCATTTCTTATATCTTCATATTAAGGGTGCCCCTACCAAGGCCAAATATAAAAAAAATTGTTTGATGTACTCAGACCCGTCAAAATCATCTCTACCAATTAGCAATAATTTTTTTCAGCACTTCAAATTTTTTATTTTTTCCCCCTTATTTCCATGATAGATGGTTTAAAACGAAGGTGTAATTTTTTTCTAATTCTTGGATGCTTTTTGATTTATAAATATAATTTAAATCTGTTTATCTATAATTGATAATTGATTGATAATGAAAACATCAATAGATTTCCGAGTCTGTGATTTTTTTAATATGACAGTTATCAATATTAATTAGTTCAATACTGTAAGGCAAAAAAAAAAAAAATTACCAACCAACCACCCTTGATAAAAGTGGGTTGGAGTACATCAAACAAAAAATATTTTAAATTATGGCCAATGATGACTATCGGTCTTATATTTGTTATTAAAAATAAATTCCATACATGTATATAAAATTATACATTTAATCTGTATACAAGGCTGTTTCACCCAATTTTAATAGTGAGGTAGGATGACAGTACAGATGTCAGTCATGGGTAAATGTCTAAAACCTTGGGGTGGGGGTTGAGGGTAAAGCATCACAGGACACAGCACATCTTTTTGTCATTTTATGATATATCATGTCTTGTATACGTGTATGAGAGTAAATTTTATTCATGTATAGGACCATTACCAGTTTAGTTTGGACTTTCAGTAAGACGTGGCATTCTCGACGTTACCTAATTAGCTTCTGAAATTAATTTACACAGCTTTCCTTCACTGATAAATTTAGTATACATAGGATAGAAATTTAGCCGCATATCAGCAGGTGTAGTAAATAGCCAATTAAAAGTTTTCTCACGGCACAGGTGGAGCATAAGTTGTCTCATCGTTGTTAACAACAATTTAAAGTTTTTGATGTTATTAATTTCTTAACCAATGAGAATTGGAATCTACTAGTATTTGCCATTATGTAGCGCAGAGAATGCCAGTCGCCCTACTGAAAGTCCAAACTAAGGTGAAAATTGTTATATGTCCTAGTACTAATATTTTGTTGCATCAATTTCATACCTGTATTTGATTTGCATTTTGAAGAATGATGATGACTCAAAGTCAGTTTAGTCTTAGGTACTGCTTAAAGCAGCTGCATCTCGCATCTGTCTTACTCAGCCCGGTTCTCTTGGACTTCTGCTATAGAATAAGTTTTAATGTATTTATGTTACTAAGATCAAGGAATAAATTGCATGAACAGACAGAAATTTAACCAAATGCCTTTACCATGTTCAGGGAACGTACACTTTTTAAATAAGAAATTTGTTCATGTAAAAATTGTTATTGTAGTGATATGAATTTTGTTAAACAGCTGTTAAATGTTGAACACAGAGAGATAGCAAAATATATAATCATATAATCCTTCAAGTTGGGAAATAATGGCCACGAATATTCAATGCTCAATCGCCTCGATCCGCTGACATGCAACAGGTAAAACTTTACTGAAAAAAGTATTTTTAATAAATTATTTAACCAAACAAAAGTGATGCAGCGCCAGACCTGTTTACCCAAAACGTTGTCTCTCAGTATTTTTCTTAAGATTTGTCCGTGAGATTTGGCATTTGCCAGTAAGATTTCATTTTCCATCAATTTTACATATATTAAAAGAGAAAAACTGCTTTTCTGATTACGAAAACATTGTTTAACAACAAGGTCATTTTATAATACCATAGCGTTTTGGCAACCTGATATCGCTTAGGTGTTTGAAATTTTTCTCTTATTTAGCTATAAATAAAGTAAATCTACGACAGATCATAACGAAAACTAACTCTTAAATTCCAAACTAACTTGTTTCTGATTTCCGTATTTTCACAATGGCAAAACGTGAGACGTATTTTGGACTAAAAATCCGTAAAAAACATGGCGAAATCGTAAGAGTAAACAGGTCTGCAGCGCCAATATGACGTTTGTACCCATCAGGCACAGACAAAATTCCTCCTCTATAAATATAATCAGCTGACAATAACATCAGCCGTCCTCGGATTAAGGAAAAACCTGTAAACAAATTAACTCAAAAGATGATTTGGAAACTATTTCATTAGGATATGAAATAAAACACTTATTTTTTCGCTCAAAATAAAGACGAAATAGATGACATTCTCTGACTTGTTTACCTGTACTTTGATCGAAATTTTCCTCGTGGACACTCGCACCCAAGCTTTTATGACACGCAATTCATCCATCGTAAGTCGGAGAACCCTTCTGCTTTGTAAAACTACTTAACTTTTCCTCGAAAGCTGTGTATAAACCAAAAACATGCTTAACTCAAAACACAACTCCATACACGGAAGTCGCAAGTCACGTGACGAAAACGAAAGTGAAAGTACATTGAGGGACCTAGGGAGCTGTTGTTATTTCATAAATAATTTGAATAGGTGATATTACCTATTCGAATAAGTGATATCACCTATTCGTGCTGAATAGGTGATATCACCTATTCGAATAAGTGATATCACATATATTCGAATAGGTGATAACGCCTATTAATTTGAATAGGTGATATCACTTATTCGAATAGGTGATATCACCTATTCAGATTGAATAGGTGATATCACTTATTCGAATAGGTGATATCACCTATTCGAATGAGTGATATCACCTTTTTGAATTGGTGATATCACCAATTCAAATTGAAAAGCTGATATCATCCAGCACGAAAATGTGATATCACCTATTCGAATAGGTGATATCAACTATTCGAATAGGTGATATCACCTATCCATTTCCAATAGGTGATAACACCAATTCGAAAAGGAAATATCATCTATTAGAATAAGTGATATCACCTATTCGAATAGGTGATATCACTTTTTATCAGTAAATACAAAGACGGCGCCTCATACATGTACTATATAATGTCATGCTCTACATCAGCTGATGGACAAAATTTATATCTATACTATCTGAGGAAGATTACATAAAATTTGTTTTGCTGTTCTTGAAAACATCTTTTTGTTTTTGCTACATGTTTGATCCCCTGTTTATTTAATTTAATTTAATCAATATTTTATCATTACTATATTTATGTCAAATTACATTACGTGTAAATACATGTAATTTGTTCACACATCAGGCATTGCCTATTTGATCCTCTCCAATCATGATCTCTAGAGCCCTCAAAATTATTAAAATCTCGTTTAATATGAATTTTTGATCTTTTTTTTTTAAAGAAAGATTTTTCCAGCAAATACAAGTATACATGCACAATTATAAATATATCAAATGCAATTTTCTGTACATGTAACAATTTAAGCATCTTTGCCACGCATGGTCACGATTTTGATAAAACTTTACCAATCCTTAGTACTTGACACCATAAAATAACGCTGCTATGTGTCATGGTTACAGCCGAAGAAATTGAATTTGCCAGCTACTGTAAATCTTTATTGAGTTTTAATATAAAATAGAAAAAGCAAACAAACCATTCTCAAAAACGTGATACCTTGTTTCCATATATACTCTCAGGAAACTGGTATTCTGTTTAGAATATATATATCTAAGTAAGTGGAAACAAAGGGTACATTTGTTTTTATCAATTTGAAATGCTTATGGAAAAGGTTCTGTAAACACTAAAGGTAGATATTACATCATCAAACTAAATTAACAACTTAAGAAGAATGATAAAAATATCTGACCTTATGTAAATACATGTTGTACGTATGAGCAACATTAATCTATAAATTGCTCTAATGGTTGCCATGGTTACAGAGTAACCAAGTAAACTCAGTAACAAGATTGGAGTACACTGTAATGTTTTGTCTGATGAAGAACATGAAAATTCAAAACTGGCAATTATGCATCCTTTCTTTGCACCTTGCAACTTTAACAACATAAAAAAAAATGGCGGTGTAAACAGAAAATAACACACCAGTGGTTTAAAGTGATATTTTTGCTGTTTAAAAAATAATTGCCATTAAATAAAGAAACATTATTATATGAAACACCTTAAATAGTACTTATCTGGTAGAACTAAACTTGAATATCATATTGATAAAATTTGATGAGGTAAACTACACTGTTGTTTTGGTTACCAAAAAAAGAAAATGTTCTATTTTTTAAACCCCATGCGCAAGCTTCTTGCATTCAGTTAGAGATTTGATGATTAGTCAAATTTAAAAGTCAGTTTAGTTGTTCATAAATATCAATCATAAAAATTTTTGGGAATTTACATGTAAAGGTGCATGTACAGTGTACGTATCACAGGAAACAAAATATTTTTTTTAGCATATTAAAAATATTATATTTTTCTGCTTATTTCCATAACAGTGCTCTGTTTAATAAATTTGTTTTGAATTGCTTTAAATGAAAAAAAAATTAGGATCACTCTAACACCTTTAAAAATTGATCATCAGTTATATAAAAATGTGCTTTTATAGAAAGGTACATGTAGATTCAGATTTAAACATACATAGCGTAAGTTTGAAGGCTTTTTTGTGGTATAAAAAGCAAGGCATCCATTGCCAACCAAAAAAGAAATATCATAATCTGTCCTTGGTATATTTTTAAAGGCTCTTTTCTCATTTTTTAAATCTCATTCCTTCCATCATTTTTTTTCAGTTTTACATATATGACTTAAAAGGATTCAATGAATATATTCTTTCCTATTGCATACTTTGTTACCATAGTAAATTATGTAAAACTTGATGTACCAAATATGTCTATCATGCATTTAAGACATCAGGCCTGTAATTGTTTGCTTTACAGCAAATTTTATTATGCGTCTTTAAACATGTTTTTATTAAAAATTTTAAGACATTTTGTAATGGTATATAACCGTAACAAATATCCATTTTTGCTTCAATTTGGTTGAGAGTATCAAGGACTTTCATCATTTAGAGTAAGAAGAAATTCTGAGACAATGCATACTTCATATTCTATATAAAATTTCAAGGTATTACAGAGAATATCTCTTAGTGTAAGTCCATTATTGACACTCTTATATATCTACAGTTTCTCCCGTTTCCCGATCATGACAAGGCGCATAAGGCGGCTCAGAGTGGTCGGGAGGGAAAAGTTTTTCCTCCATGGCACTTGATCCCACTTCTGATGATTTAGAGATCCACGTTTACTCTGCGTCTTATTTCTGTTGTTTAAATGGACTTCTGAGAATAGATGTTCGTTATCTTCAAATTTCATATGCCGAATCAGGCGCGGATCCAGGAATTGAAGTTAGAGGGGCGCCAAAAGTAGGCAAGGGGTCTGGGGGTCACCTTGAGGCCCCCAGTGGGTCCAGGGCAAAGCCCTGTTGGGACCCAGGGGCCGAATCTCCCGGAAGCTCCTGGATTCTAGAGATTTTGTAGGGTAAAAATGAGGTCTACCAAGTGTACATATTTACAATATCTAGACTAAACTGTGATTTACGTCAATTTTGACAATTTTAAGGGGGGGGGGCGCACCCGGCGCCCCCCTTAAATCCGCCACTGCGAATTAAATTTCATGTGGGAAGAAGCAGATGAATAAATTGAAACATAATAAATGGGTTTATAGAAACATAAAATGTGAAAAAACAACATTGAAATTCTTTTTTTATCATAAAATTTAAGATGTTACCTGACCAAATTGATGAAGTAATATCACTTAGTTGTAGGCTGTGATTCTTTTGAACCTTGCCAATATCTCTAATTTGCGTGCTCAAATTCATTTGGATCTCACGAATATCATGCATATCCCTCAATTGCGTACTATGGTTCTTTTCTTTCTTGCTGATATCCTCTAGTTGCATGCTGTAATTCTTTTGCTTCTCGTAAATATCCTTCAGTTGCATGCTGTAATTTTTTTGATTATTGAGGATATCTTTCAGTTGCATGTTAAAAATCTTTTGATTCTCTTTGGTATCAACCAATGTTTCATTTACTGAAACAAATAATCTTTCTAAACTTCCTCCAATTACTTTCAATCGTGTACCATAATCATCCAATGTGGACTGCATTTCTGTAATAAGCAAATTCGTGTGTGCGGCTTCTTCCGTTGACATATTCTTGTTTATTTTCACAGCCTCATTTAAAGCGTTTAACTCCTGACCTAAGTTAGCGTTTTTGATCTCCGAGTCCTGCTCTCTGTTTTCCAAACTCTGTAAATCTTTTATCGCCTCTTGAAGTCTTTTCTTTACATTTTGAGCAGTGTCCGTATTGTCTATCACATCCATGACAAGCTTTTGAATTTTCTGCACCATTGAAAATCGAACAAGACTTTCTTGATTTAATATTTCTCTTAAAACACTGGAGGTTTTTCCAGAGGTCGCACTAGGCATCAGATCTGTTTTATCTACGACGCTTTTATCTGATTCAGTTGAGATACCCAATGTTCCATAAACAAACGTTATCAAATATATTAATTTTCTGAGCTCCATGGCTGTAAAAAGGTCTATCTTCACGCTCAAGTTAAACTTTTTCCCCTACTGGCAAAGTCGCCTGCTTATATAATGATAAAAAAAAGTATTTTTCTTCACGAGTAACGTGATGCGTTACGTATTAAAACGTCATGCCAATCAAACAGAAAAAGTTAACATTCTGAAATCTCGGTTCTTTTCTAAAATTTGTTTTAAATCTATATTTCAAAGTACTGAGGAAAAAAGTAGAAGACAAAAACGGTTTTTGTCCACAACAATGACGATTATCTTTGCTTGCCTTTGTCCTTTTACAACCAACAATTTGCATTTATTGAAGAGTCTATTTTTTTCTAGAAACAACATACATCTTTGCAAATTAAGGGTTTACCTCTGATTTTCTTTGCGATGTTCTTATATCAAAATATAATAAAAAATAGTCCTTACAAATGCTTAAGGCTGCGAGTCACTGTGTAACTGTCACTTCAGCGTCTATAAATTAATAAGCATAGCAATTAGAATGTTCCTAACATAACTCTTCGTTAGATATCGTGAGATTTTATATCTTTTTGTTTTACGTTTTCTACCATTATATTATTCTTTGTGACAATTTCAAGTATTTCATGTACATTTTGAGTTCAATTTAAGGACAGATGAAACAAACAAACTTTTGTCATAAAAATTTAAAAGAAGAAGTTGAGTTGTGTTTGTGTGAGTTAAACGAACATGTTTAACCGCGTAGTTTTCAATTTTTCATCTAAAGACTTTGAAGTGAAAAATATCTGTATAGGTACAGAATTGCTGCAGAAAAGTAGAATTTTGAACATCAAAGAGGTTTAAACATTACAATTTCTTAATATTTGGAAAAATTTGTTTGTTGAAGCTTTTGTAACACATTAGGCTGAGAAATAAATTCCTAATCCAGGCTTTTTTTCATTTTTGTTTGTATCATCTGTACTTGAATAAATTCCTTGCAAATATTAAAACTAAGTATTTGCTTTATGGAAACCTCTTCTATGTAGCAGAACGAGTACGAAAGTCTATAAGTTGCATTCAACTCAATTCTATGGCAATAAAATGCTTCAAGAATGTAATTCTTTCCAAAGGTATTGAAAGAGCATACTGTA